AAAGCTATTTTTTTGAATACTGCTAAATGATTACACCAGCTATTATACATAAACCTTAAGTCCACATTTCTGTAGTTGGTTTCTTAAAAGAAAGTAGTTTCTTAGGAAGTAGTTATCTTCCTGAAGCAGGATGCCACCTACCTATTCAAAAATTTCCGATGGCTCTTCAAGTATTATGAGAACAAAATCAAAACTGTATAATTGAGACTACCAAGATCTTGCTCCAACATAACTTTTCAGATTTTCATTATTCCCCTTTTCTGTACCTACTAGACTAATCATAACTTTTGACTAACAAATAAATTCCTTTGCTTTCCTGATTGAGGCAATTGTTTAAAATATATTCTTTGGAGTTTGTCTATTTCTATATACCTAATTCCTGGACATTCATAGCTGAAATTTTACTTTCTCCACGAAATTTCTCCATTCTCTCCCCTAGCCTGCCAGTATCAATGAAAGTAATTATTCTCTCCTGTGAACAGCGGTCTATCTGTACTTCTTTTATGTTACCACTTTCTAATCTGTGTAACAGATATTCAAGTAGACTGTGTTAGACAAGACTATTATTAGATTTTAAGTTCCTTTAAGAGAAGAATCTGGATCAAACTGAAACTTCATATATACTCCATAGAAATAAATATAATGCCTTGTACTTGAAACGTTTGGTAAATGAACAGCTCCAAGAACAAATCAGTAAATCCTGGTGATAAAGAATATTGTTTTCAACATACTATTCTGTATACCAAACAAACATGAGAGACTATGACAGAGTAATTAGTATTTTATTTAATAGGTTTTCAATCTGTTAATGTAGAGTATAGAATTTGTCTAACAAGTTACATATTGAAAGACATAAAACTTAAGTGTAGCAGAAAGCCCACTTAGTTTAGTACTTTATGCTTGAAAAGCAACAATATATTATTTATATAATAATGCAGTTTGGTACCCTCAAAATAGGTAATAAATCTATAAAACTCTGTTCTCTTTCATTCTAGCTCATACTAATCTTTTAATTAAAAACACCAATTGTCTTCTTAAAGTAAGGCTATCCAAATTTTTGGATCAAGCACCTTATGAATAAAAAATGTTTTAAAAATATTCTCAATATACATATGTGCTCATTTGTAAATTATAACCAAGTAATGCTACATTACTGTATTATATAGTATTATATAACTTGTACAAAAAGAGATATTATAAAGGATGGGAAAGAGATGAAACAATCAAAAATTTAAAAGTATTTTAATTACTAATGGTACAAAATATCTTTTGGCTCAATTTAAAAAAAATGAAAAATCTTATAAAGAATTGTAATGTAGAGCCACTGGAAAAGACGCATTGTTAGTAATGCTTATTAAATCACACTGCTTATTTTTAATGTAACTTACTAATTATGCTAAGGTTTTAACTGAAATTCTGCTGGTAAAATTGCATCTTTCTTGATGTTCTTACAAACTTATTAGGAGGTGCTGCATTAAAACGTTTTTAATAAATTAAAAAACCACCTAAACACAAATTAAGACTTTTAAAATAGGTTAGAAATTCTGTTTTCAAGTTTTTAAATTATGTAGATATATTTACTGAGTGATATATTTACATCATTTTCTTTTGGCAATAAAATACAAAAAAACTGGACATTTTCTAAAATCTATTTTTAAAATGTCCTCTTCATTTTTAAGTTTTTTTTTTTAAAAACTCACTTTCTCATTCACTCTAAAATATGTAACTTTTACCTTTAAGGATCTGATTATGTTTCTTTTTAAAAAGAAGTTCCTACACACAAGTAATAGTCATTTGTTACCAAAGAACTATCAGCAAATTTTCAACTCTCTTATTTTCATTAAAAAAACAAAAACAAAAACAAAAAAAGCACATGGACGCACACAACAGCTAAGTATGACAATTCTTGAAAATACTAATTCATGAAATAGCCAGACAACCTCTTTATGCTGTAAGACTGTCATGGTCATTCCTTCTGATTATCAACAGTGGTATTTACAAAGGTTCTACCATTTAGGATAATGTCCAGACATCTACTCATTTGGACACATGTAAAATGCAGTATGTTTCAATATGCTGAACGTGAACAGATGAGTGAGTTTGTCACTGTCAGTCCTTCCATACTCAAACTCTCATTCTTCCTTAGGAAATATCTTGGGCTCAGACGTAACTCAGACAGGCTGACACATGAATCTAATGAGGCTGCCAGCATCAATCTGTATATGAACTATTAACAGATATTAATTTCTTTATTCTTAAATAAAGATTACTATTTTCACAAATTAAATTCTTTAGTGTTGAAGATGAGAAAATTATTATCATTACCAGTTTGAAGGAATACAGATATTCTTTAAAATAAGTAGTGATATTTTGATTATCACTTATACAAACTATTTTCTGATAAAAATGACTATTGAAATACATGTGATGTTGACTGTCAAAATATATTAATTCCAGTATTAACATAAAACAATACAAAGTTAAAATGTACTTCCAGTGATAAGACTGTAGCGATATTTTATTGCTTTAAAGAAGAATGCCAGTAAAGTACAATAAAACACAGGTAATTATTTTAATTAGCAACAAGATTTAAATCAGCTTTAAAGGAGAACTGATGAATTCAAATACATGCTAACAGTCTTTTATAAAATTACTTTTCTCTCTGATTTTCCTGAAGAAATTAATAGTCTTAAGAGCAGCCAGCTACTTGACGCCAAGTCTGGCACTGTATTTCAGGTGTGTGCCTTACCTTTGCTCCATGCTTATGCAGAACTTCCATGACATCGTTGTGAGCTCTTTCTGCTGCAACATGCAGAGGAGTCATGAAACTGTGGAAAGGAGAAAAGGAAAAGGTAATTTCCTAACTTTTATGACATTCCTTTTTTAAGAATTAAACAACTCCTTCTGCAATTATACTTACTCTTTATTTTTTTCATTTACATTTGCTCCTTTTCTAAGTAACAATTCTGTCACTTGTTTTCGTTTGGGATGCAGAGAGGCCACAGCACAGTGCTATAAAGTAAATAAAAGTTAATAAAATAAACTTCTACTTAAAAGTAGATTTCTGAATTAAATAGCATATTTTAACTATTTAGAATATTGTAATCTCAAAATATGCTTATATATTTTACATTACGAAGATAATCAAAATTTCTCCTAAATATATTAGAAGTACAAAAACATAAGCCTTTAAAACAAGATGACATATGCTCTTAGTTAATAGACATCTACTATATATTTATTTTAAGGTATTAGAATATTGCCTCTCCAAAGCTACAAAAATCTATAACTAAATTACTTGACCCTTCATTAGGTTGTCAGCCACATAAATCAATATTTCTTAAACTCTTCCACGAGGTACTCCTAGCACTACAAAAGAATAAGGCTATAAGCCCAGGGACAGGCAAGAAGGTACTAGATCTCAAGGAGCTTAGAAGGAGAAGGATTCAGAAATTTTATGTCTTATCCTATACTTATACAATTTTTATATTGAATTTCATTTTATATTAATGTATTAAAATTTAAAAAGTAAAAAGCTATTTTCTAATGAATAAAATGAATGCTCCAAAAATGCAGGTCAGGTTTATTCTGTGGCTTTGAGTCTCTCCTGGCATAATGCTGTGTAGCTTGAATGTATCTGAACCCCAATTTGAGAGCCATATATTTAAGTGTATATACAGTTGGCCCGTTTCAGTTTGGTAACTCTTTTAATGTTGTTTTCGGCACATACTGACTACAGTTTGACTTTTTTTGTGCCAGATGTAAATGTGAGAATGTTAACTAAAGTACATGGAGAGGTTTGTGATAGAGGCATCACAAATGTTTAAATTCTGAATTCAGGAGTAATCTAACCAGACCTATACCTGAAAATGTGGTCAATGAGAGAAAATAAACTAATTTTTCTGAAAGTACATTAGAAAGAAAAACATGAATAGTTTTAAAAAGACAATTTGTACAGTCTGAAACAAAAGAATTCATAATCTTACCACTTTTTATATAATGAAATGTAATAATTCTGAATATATTTGCTCAAAAAGATAATGCAAGTATCTTTGAAAATATTTTAATCTTCTATAGAAAAACAAATATGGTGTTTATCTAGCAACCACAAGAAAAAAAAGATTCTACAGATAAAATCATATTTTATACTTTAGGAAAGCATTGGCCACAAAGGTACATCTGTTACAATATGGTTGGGTAAAAAATGTAAAAATAATTCCCAAATCGAGGTTAAGCATTAGAATTTTCTCACTCATTAAAAGCAATCACCTCCTGAACCAAATGCAGAAATCAATACAACCAACATTAAAACCCAAATTCCTGGCACTTCAGATACTAAAGTTACTTTAAGGTTTCTAAACTGAAAATGACATTTTGTGCTCACACTACTACTATGGACCCATGGGCTGGATTAACAAAATCTTACCAGTGCAGTTTCATGAGACTGTGGCTGTTTGAAATTAATGATTTCCAAGGCAAGTGTTTTTTTAACTTTGGCTAGGTCTGCTTCTCTGGCTGCTTGTAGTAAAGAATGACCTTTAAATTCATCTGTTAATGACATAATAGTTGACATAAAAAAGATTTAAAATCTTTAAAAACCATTAGCATAATTATAAAGTAGAAAAATTATTAACTTTACATCTTCCTCTTTTAGCAACAGCAAGAACACTGAGATATGATAAAGGTGCAGGAGCTGAAGGTGTAGATTAATGAAAAATTTTGAAATCTATATGCTCTGAAGTAAGACTGCTTTATATTCTTAAGAGTTCAAAAAGATACACACACACAGATACTCCAGAAAAGTTTTAAAACAAGCAATCTAATTGTCCACCAAATGGAAACCAGTTAAATAATTTGGATATACTTATACACTGGAATATTTTACAGCTCTTAAGGAAAAAAGACAGATCTATATATACTGATGTGATATATATATTATTAAATGAAAATTCAAGTAGCACAAGAGAAAGGATATGTCGATCCAACTACTACTACTATTGCTACCACAACTAAATGTAAGTAATGATATAAGAAAACATTTAGAGAAACATCCACTAAAATATTAATAGTGATTTATGTCTTGGCACAGATGTGGAAAGAATTGCATTGTGGGGGAATTGCCAGAATTTAAAATTTTTTCAAAGGACGATATTTTATGTATTATTTGTATAAGCAAGTAAGAGATTTTTAAAAAGGCATTTCTAAATTGACTGCATAAATAAGAATCCGATACTGTTATTTATTACAAAAATATAGTCTTATTTCCTATTTTACAAGTTTGGTTTGTATTTTGAAATGACAACATATTCATAAAAAGTTGAAAATTGTTCAAAACAGAAGCAAATGATGTATGATCTAATATATTACGTAACAATTCCAGACCCTCTCACATTCAAGCCTTTGCATCTGCCTGGTACTGAATTTTTTCTCTTTTCTTTTTTCTCTTCTCCTTTGAGGGCCCCATCTTACTTCCTTCTTTTCCCTCAAAAAAAAAAAAAAAAAAAGAGAAAGAGACAACCTACTCAAAGGAAGAAGATATCTGCAAATGATATATTCAATGAGGCGTTAATACCCCCAAAATATAAAAAACTCATACAACTGAACATCCAAAAAACAAAGAATCCGCTTAAAAAATGGGTAGAGGGTCTGAACAGACATTTCTCCAAAGAAGACATAGAGATGGCCAAAAGACATATAAAAAGATGTTCAACATCACTAATCATCAGGGAAATGCAAATCAAACCACAATGTGATATTATGTCACACCTGTTAGGATGACTATTATAAAAAAAATCAAGAAATAACAAGTGTTGACAAGGATGTGGAGAAAAGGGAACCCTTGTACACTGTTGGTGACTGGAAATTGGTGCAGCCACTATAGAAAATAGTACAGAAGTTCCTCAAAAAAATTCAAAATAGAACTACCACACAGCCTAGCAATCTCACTCCTGGGTATTTAACCAAAGAAAACGAAACACTAATTCAAAAAAATATATGCACTCCTATGTTCATTGTTGCATTATTTACAGTAGTAGCCAAGATATAGAAGCAACCTAGGTGTACAATGACAGATCAATGGACAAAGAAGATATTATATGTATGAGAGAGACAGACAGACAGACACACACTCCTTATTAACTACTTACTCATCATTTAAGGTCTCAGTTTAAACGCCCTGCATAAACCTTCCAGACATTACTCATTATTGGGTTAGGATTCCATCTTATAAAGTCCATTGCACTTGCACTTGGCCTTATATCACAGGACATATTACACTGTCTTATTTGCTACGGTAGTCCTATCACCTAGTACAGTGCTTGAAACGTTCAACAGGTATTTGTTGCACATATGCTGCATATTTATAAAATAAGTCATGGTGCTTAGTAATACATTACCACTGCTAAATTCTTCAAAGTATTAGGACTCTGAAACTTCAGAAACCCAAAAGTGACGTCAAATAAAATGAAAGTGAACCAGTATTTTCAAATAACAAAATTACAGATTTCCATTTAATGACAAAATTAGAGAAAAATAAAGTGAGAGAATTATAAACTATCATATGAAAGGACCAGGATCCTAACAATGGCAAAGGACAGTGATGTATTGAGAACTGATGTCAAGCAGAAAGTATGGTTTTGCTGAGTTCATCCATCAATCTTTTGAATTCAGAAATTTAAACTGAACTCAAATTATACTGGCTTTTTTTCTAATGACAAATGTTCTATGAACATCAAAATGATAAAAGCAATTCTACATTTTCAGTTACTCCTTAAAGTTCAAGAAAAGTAGTTCAGAAAAAAACTAAATAGGCAAATTTATGAAAAGCATAAACAGTAAGACTGCAGTAGAAAGGAATTATGATGCAATAATACAATTAAACAGTACAATATTTTCTCAAGTAACAAGAAGTAAAATATCCCTTATCTTTGCTCTTTAGAAAGTAGCAGATTTCTGCCCAAATTGACTTTGATATAGAAAACATTTTACTGACAAATAATCAAGAATAAAAAAATAACCCAGAGAATGAAAAATTTATCAACTACGTAATTGTCCTTCTCAATGTGAAGGTTATATAAAAGCCTGTTTGTAAAACTTTAAGAAAGCTAAATAGTTAAAGGGAGGGTGGTAAAACTGCAAATTACTTGAACTTACCCTGAAAACTTAGTATTTATAAAATGCCTTAAAAGTTTCTCTTTCTAAAAGAATTCTAAAACAAGAATGAAAGCTACTGTCAGTATTTTTCGTTTCCATATGTATAGAACCCCAACTACCTTGTTCATCTGGCTTCATGAAAACATCAAATAAAAAAAATAGACAAGAAGGAGCAGGAAAAAATGCATGTGATGAAAATGCTGTAACCATGGGTTAGATTAAAATATTGTTTTTGTTTCCTACACAATGTTCTTAAAGAGAATTCTGTAATTGTGAATGCTTAGTATAAAACAGTGAACATGATGAAAACTGCAGTTAGAGAAGTTCCAACTTTGTTAAATCCTTTTCTTTAAATAATTTACTGGTAGAATCTTAATAAAGGAGATACTGAGAAGTCTGAAAAGTACTCGAATCAGGGAATTTATTCCTTTACAAACTACAAATTTAGGTTAAATCTTAACATTTATATTGGAATCAGACTAGTGAAATACAATGTAAAATCATAATACTCATAATTTACAAAATGAAGGAAAGGAGAAAAATGTTAAATGAAGACATGGGGATAAAGCTGAGCCCGGTGGTATAAACTAAAAGAAGGAAATGAGAAAAAGATAAAAAAATAAGTTTTGAGTTAAGTTAAATTTAATTCAATAAACTTGCTGAGCACAAGCACAATGCACTGTGCTAGGCTGGGGGTAGGACATAGACCCAAACACAAATACCATCCACACATTTTATAATAAAGCATTGCATAGGTGCTAAGAACACAGAATAACAAAATCAAAGGTCTTTCTAAGAATTTAAATTTCACTGGGAAGATAGAACATACATGTAAAAAAATGAACTATATAATGCAAGAAAACATATGGCGAGAGTCCTCTGAGTGGGAGAGAGAATAAATGCACTTCTATAAGGATTCATTGCTAAGAGACATCTGCCCAGTTATAATCTGGTTTATGCTGGCCTGTAATCTAGTGGAAGTCATCCGATCCAATACCAAAAAAAGTTTAAATTTCCACTTAAACAAGATCAAAACTGCAAGGAACTCTTCCTGTTTTAACATGAACTAATTTAAAATCTGTTTAAACTTAAAAGATGTTAGCATCATTTTGACTATGCCTTCTTTTTTTAAGTTTTCATTTAAAGATTTTCTCAGGTGCTTAAATCCAGTTACCTGATTCTTAGAATCCCAGATATAAGAGAGAATAATAACCATAGGACCAGTTGAAAATAAGGTAAATACTACCTGGTTTAATTTAAACCTGAAATGCCCACATATACAGTTAAATATATCTCAATATTTGATATGACAAGTAAATGTAATTGTGGTATCCAGAATGAGATCCTGGAAAAGAAAAAGGACTTTAAGTAAAAATAAAGGAAATCTGAATAGAGTATGGCCTATAGTTAATAATGTGTCAATATCGGTTTACTGTGGCAAATGTACCATACTAATACAAGATGTTAATAATAGAGGAAATTGACAATGGGGTATATGAGAATTCCTTGTACTATTTTTATAACTTTTCTATAAATCTAAAACTATTCTAAAACAAAAAGTTTATTTAAAAATAGATGCATATACATATACAGATAATATGTATCAGTATCTGAGATTACTTCCACCCAATCACAAAAATTATATTGTGTAAATTTAGGCAAGTGATTTCACTTGGGCTATAACACACAAAAGAAAGAAAACATGATTGTGTAACCTTACAGGGCTTGGGAAATAATGAACGCTAAATAATGTTAGATATCTATTATAACCACTAACATAGAAATATAAGCTCTTTGAGCTCAGAGTTTTTTTTCTGGTTTGTACAATGCTTTATTTCTAGTACATGGCGCATAGTAGGCAGTTAATAAATGGTTATTGATTGACTCATTCTCATTAGCCTTAAATAAAAGGGTGGGGCACCTTAACTCGTGAATGAGAATTAGGCTTGAATAAACACAAAACAGTATATAAGATTCTTGTGGAATCATTAAGAAAAGTATATGATCAAATATGAGGATTATAAACCAGTATATGTGTAATAATGGAAGGATATTATCCAAGTTAGACAAAACACCAGCCTTAATAACTAAACAAAAATGAGATATTCCATTTTGCAACAAACAATATTGATTTCAGGATAAAAATACATACAAGTCAATCTCTCCCGGAGCTCAGGAGTTGGAGCCATATCCACAGCACTTTTGCCATGGCAATTGACTAATGTAGGATCAGCACCATGGCTAAGCAACAAAGAGCAGACTTCTACACGATTCTTGGAAGCAGCCTCATGGAGTGGAGTGAACTGCCAGAGATCCATAGCATTAACACAGGCTCCATGCTGAAACGAAAAAGAAGTTTTAGGTCAGTAATCATTTCGCTGGATTAGATAAAACGCAGAAGACATTTATTTCACTGTAAATTTCAGTTATAACTTTTTGAAATGTTGATAGTATTTTAATTATATTAATTTCAGTTTTTAAAAAGTTTAAAATAAGTTGAATGTTTAAAAAATTTTAAGGCAGCGATAATACTTTTAAAAACTTTTATTCTTTTAAAAATCTTATTTGCCAAAAAACACATGAAAACTCATGACAAGTTAAAAAAAAAGCAAATGATATTTAATATTTTTAACTTCTCTTACCTTAAGTAGCAGTTCTGTGACTTCATAATGTCCATATGAACATGCATTATGAAGAGGTACAAGTCCACTAAATAAAAACAGGCAAATTAAAATACTGAAATTTCGAACAATTTATAGTCATTTATCCAAGAAGTGCTAAGAAACAAGAATATAATAAATCCCAATACAATTGTATTAAAAATTTTAAATAATACTTATTAAGAGAATACATAGCATAGCTAATGTTTAATCTTTTGTATTTACCTTCTATTTTGTGTGTATTATCCTTAAATATAATGATAAAAACACCAATTAGAAAAGCATTTAGGCAAAAGGACATGTGCTAATTGACAACTGCATGCTTTCTATATCAAGTATTTACAGAAAAATGTTAATTGATAAGAGAACTGAAATATTCCTACCATTTTGTTTCACTTTCAAGGTAATTTCTAGCATAAGAATTAAATATCCAAACTATTATAACTTGTATTTCAAAGTATCACGCTACATGAGTCAAAGATCTCCTTTTATTGTAGTGTACTTCTCTTGATGACTCACCTATTGTACACCCATCTGCTTTCAGACATGCACAAGGAAACAGATATGTACAAGAGCATCAGGCATTTGTACCCCTATACTATTGGGACACTGTTCACATATGGCATAAAACCTGGCAGAGGCGAGAGAGAAACAGAGCACGGAAAAGAGCAGATTTGAAATGGATGGATTCTCCTTCTGATAACTGTCTCAAGTACTGAGCTCATTTTTCATTTTTATGTTTCCTGACATGGAAAGGGGCAAAGTGAAAGAAACCCTCCTCCACAGCTTTTCTTATGCTTCCATCTAGAAGAGTGTAATATGAATCTCCTTTACCTGGGCAGTGAGGTCAATTATCTTTTAGATCTTAATGTGAGATAATGAGAAATGTTAGCCCATCACAATAGGACAGCAGACCTGATTCATATGTGCCTGGAGACTAGATAGGAAAATGGCACAAAATTTTCTAAAATACACCTATTCATAAAGTAAATGACATAACTACTTTCTTGGTTTCCACCACCCCACCTCCATATCAACCTTCGTAAAGATCTTTTAAGTTTTCCCAGTTCATATATCCAAGATTTCATGAGGAAAGAAACCAAATTAGAATATTATATACTTAATGATTTTGGTTTATTAATAAAAGATGACCCCTTCATACCAGATGAATATGATAACTCTATTACTGGATTACCAGAATTTTCAATTTGTTTTGTCTATCCTTCTGAAATGCAACTTGAGCTGAAAACTATAATTGCAAGTGAGAGAAACAAATTTTAACTTCAAATAATAGAACTATAATACAATTATTATGAGAAGCATCCTTAATACATAGGAATATGAAAATAAAGTCAAATCAAACTTACAAACATTCTGAAAATGCTACACAAGCTGTAAAGAAATGAGATATATGACTTTCTTTGTCTAGTGCTCAACAACTTTAGTTTGTCAGATGTTGAAAACGACGCATAATAATCCATGAGCAAAACCATTAGAAGAATTAAACTGATATACCTACCCTTTGTCTTTTGCATGAACATCAGCACCATGCTGAAGAAGCAACTGAACTATCCGAACTCTGTTGTAGCCTGCTGCTAGATGTAAAGGAGTGGACTAGAAAACAGAAAGAAAAACACATCCTCTCTTCAGGTAAATAATTCTTGCTTTGCGATTTAATCTGTATTTATTTAGATTTAAACACAGTGAATGTTAACATACACAAAAAATACCAGGTTGGAGTGCCAAAAATTCACATTTCCTACTTGGTTGAGAGACAATTCACTCATGACTAAATTCAAACTTCAGTGCCATCTACCTATGTCTCCTACTCATTTTTCAAGGCCTTCAGTAATCAAGCCCCAAACTAACATCTCTACATTTTTTCTTGCTTCTTTCCAACATGAACCACTCTTATTTTTCTGAGAAGACATGATGGGCTCATAACCCTCATAACTGAAAACATTCTTCCTTGTGCTATTTAAATCTTGTCCACCTTTCAAGTTCTAAGTTTTCAATCCCAATTCTATCATAAAGATTTACCTAAAGAGCTAGTTCTCAAAATTTCTCTTTAATAGGAAAGGTTGAAAAGCTTTCCTAAAGAACTACTTAAGAAATTTCAGTGGAAACAAAAAAGGACAATGGAACATATTCATTCATGTGGCTGCTAGCAATGGGTCAAAATTCATTTGCTACATTGCATGCAATGAAATATGCCAAGATAGTAATTAATTCTTCTATTTTATCTACTACACATGCAGTATAAATACAAGAGGAAAATATAGTTTCTTCCCAACTAATTTCTGCCACATTTTAATTTGAACCAATTAAAAGTTTCTCTGCTCAAATTTAATAAGAAATTAAAATAATCAAACTTCTCACCTCTTAAAAAAAGATAAGAAATAACATTATTTTAGTTAAAACTTTCTCTATAACCACAGCAAGTGTCCCACATTAGCTCATTTATTTAAAGTTTAAATACTGTAACAGCTTCTCATACAGGGTCTAATATACTTTCATGTACTCTCATTTTTCCTGTCTTCTTTTTGGGCCTTGAGATTTAGTAAGATTTCAATTTATTTTCTTTATATACTACTCCAAATGTCCAGATACAAAAAAAATTAATGAATACTGTATTACCTATTACTGTTTCCAAGGCACTCCATACATTTATACATTGACAGTCTCTGTGAAATATTTTTGAGCAATACACAGCTAATAAGGAGGAGACCATGTACCTTACAAGAGAGTCCTGAATAGGAAGTCAGGAAACCTGACTACATTCTTGGAGCTTAAGAAGCTGTGAAAGTCATATGCTCATATATCTCAGGTTCTTCATGTATAAAAGAGATAAAATCACCCATCCTAGCTAACTCAAAATGTGTGAAAATAAAACTTTCTCCCATATAAAAGTACTTTTAAAATGCAAAATGTTATACAAAAATAGATGATTAAAATTTTTGTATCATCAAACAACATGCCCATCCACGTTTCTGCTTTCAGACACATGTCAAATGTTATTGCAAATGATACCTCCAGGATGTATCAAGTTATTTTCAGGACTGTATATCACCTCCCTTCCTTGAATATTTCAAAGACGTCATTTCACTATCTTCTGGCTTGTATCATTTCAGACTAGTAATCTGCCAACAACATCCTATTTCTGTTCCTTTGTATATGTGCTTTTTCCTTACATACTTTAATACTTTATCACTGTTTTTAAGCAATTTGATTTTGATGTATCTTGGTACAGTTTTCTTAATTTTCCCTCGCTCTCTCTCTTTCTGTCACCCTGCCTCAGCCTTGCTAGGCAGTAAGCTTGAGCAATCACACAACTCAGCTTATTTAATTCCTGTCTCTCAGGGATCACAGCCATATACTTCCTAATGTCCAATTTCTGAAAACTATTGTTTCATATATTTTGCCTATTTTTTTTTTTTTTTTTAGTTGTTTCAGGAAGGAAAGTAAAACTAGTTCCTGTTACTCCATCTTGGCTCATTTTCAGGACTGAATCTGACTTTACGTTGCAGCTGGGAAGCTTCCTCTGGAGATAATGATGGCTTTGGATGACTGGTCAGTTAAGCCAGGAAGCTCTTTTAAAGGACACAGCTGACATTTAATACACATGGAAAAGTGACATTGTCATTGCTGATGCACAAAAAGATTTTGCTTTTTCATATAAGTATCTTTTAAAATTTTTATTTGTATATAGTTGATTCAATAAATTTTTATTTCTTTTTCTTGAAAATGAACCAAATCCCTAAATGAATGAATACATATACACACACATTATTTATTCAGAAGGGCAAAACATAAAAAATATATACTTTCTGGATTTTTAAACAATCAGTTTGAGACTGAAAAGTATTTATAATACTTTGAAAATGGTAATATATTTAGTTTTTAAGCTGTTGAAATTTAATAACAAATAAATTAGAAGGCTCTGTAACTGGCAAAGTAGAAAGTGATAGGAGGCCTGAAATAAAGCAACTGTGGAAGAAAGGCATTAAGGAGTGAGTGTCAAAAACTATTAGGAAGCAGAATTGATAGAATCTGATAAATGACTGATAAAGGTAGTAAGGGATATAGCAGTTCCAGTATGGAAATGTCAGTGACAGGTGAAAGAAATGAAGGGAACAAAGGAGGGAGGAAGAGGAGGGAAGGGTGGGCAGGGTAGGGGAGGAGCCCAGAGGGAAAGAATTCGAGGTTTGGGTTTATTGAATTTGAAGTGCCTATGTGAAAACCTAGTGGTAATGGGACTAGAATTCAGGAGAGGCGAAGGCTGAACACAAATTTGGTCGTCACTGGCATTCATTTAAAATATTTTAGCATCTGCCATGTATCTGGCACCATGTTAAGTACTAGGGATAGCATGGTAAACAAGAAAGGCTTCATATTTTGCTCTTTGTTCTTATTCCTTAAAAACAAAGTCCTTAACTGAAATACATATAGAAAATTTATTTAGAAGGACAAAAGATGAGGAAACAAGTGTAGTTTCTGAGGAGTTAACTAGACAAAGCAGACATATACAATTAAATGTGACAAATACAGTAGTAAAAGAAGTTCAGGATGCCAGGGGAGGCTAGAGGACACATACCTTAATCACTATGGAAGTTAGATGGGAATAGGGCCAGGGAAAATTCTCAGAACTACTACTTTCTGAGGGGAGACTTGAAGATAAACAGAAATCATTGAGGCAAAAGGATGGGAAACTATAATCCAGGTAGTGTAGAGAGCATACATTAATACCCAGTGGACATAGTATAATTGAGGAACTAAAAAAAAAAAATCAGTGGCTAAGTGTAGTATATGAGATTGGGGGAGATTCTAACAACAATAGGGAATCCCTAAAGGACTTTAAAAAATTACTTAAGATTGGAGTTTGGAAAGATCACTTTAGTTACTCTACAGATAAATTGGAGGGGGAGGGCAAAACCAATTACGGGAAGATATGAATAGAAAACTAGGACTAATCTAGGAGATAGTTTTGTCAGTTAGCAAAATTGGTAGTAGCATCTAAGGAGAGGTAGCTGAGCTATAGGAGTGGATGAATTCACAGGGAGAGTGAGTACAAAACAAGATAGATGAGATTTTTTAAGTAGTCATTCAAATGTAGATGTTAATTATGTAAACTAAACAGTATCAACGGAAGGCACATAAAACTGTAAAATGCATGCAGTAAATTTGAGGAAGTGGTAAAAAACAACAACAACAAAAATACAAATTGAGAACAAAGGCAGATTTAAACAAGCTTATGCTACTAAGAGCCCAGAAGTTTTTCCACTAGGAAAAAATTTACAACTAAATATTATATACCAAAAGATATCTTCTGATGCAAAACAATTAAAATTATGTGGCCAAGACTAAATTTAGTGAATGGTTACCACACAGTCCCAACTTTACACCCCAACTGCCAAATGGCAAAGTAATGATAAAAGGAATTTTCTGAATGCTGGGATAATTAACAGAGTGTAACTTTAGTTTAGAAAAAATAAAGCAGACCCATTTGTACAATACTCACACATGTTATTTGATAATTTGGTGATGGCTGTAAACTAGTAAACATAAGAATCGCAAGAATCAAACACTTAAGATATCATTATATTCAGGGCAGCAATCAGCCCAGTTTTTACATCTCAGATTTAAGAAACAGATTTTTTGTTGGGAATATGTTAAAAGTCAAACATGTAGAGTGATAAAGTATGGAACAACTGAAAATACAAAACTATCTAAAAATCTAAATATTATTCTGCTGTAAAAGAAATGTTATTATTGATATTTTCATATTGTAAAATATTTACAGAAAAAGAATCTTTACTTAAAAAAACATCATAATTTAAGGTTTTCTTCTTGGAACCTGGCCATAAAAAAACCCCAATCTCTCATCTTTGCCTTTTATAATATAGATTTGCAGCATAGTATAAACCATTTAAGGTAGCTTTAACTTATCTTACACATATATGCATAGCTCAAATAGTTGACAGGTCGTCAACCTTGTTATAAAATTGCAGATGTACCTTTAACATAAGTCTAGGCAGCAAGATATAAGAAAATGAATAAAGGCTTTTAACTCTCACGTTTGCATTCTTGCTTTGCAAAATTTATAAGGTATATGGTTTTGGACTAATTTCTTCATATCTCTGAGCCCTGGCTGCCAATATCTGTAAAATGAGAATTACAATTTCTACCATAAAGGCGAATTTATGGATTAAAGATAACTATATAAAGTACCTAAGAGAATATCACATAGAAAAAGCTCAACAAATGGTAGTAACTACTTATTATCATCTTATTAAGCATTTTACACTCTTAGATGTTCTTAAAGATCATTTATCCATCCTCATCTTACATTACCCATCAGCATTATTTGACATAACTGATCACTTCTTCCTTCTTGAAATGTTTTTCCCCTTGGTATCTAGGTACCCTAGATACCTACCTCACTGGTCATTCCTTGGTCTTCTTTTCTGGTTATTCCTCATTTTCTTGATATTGGAATACTCCAAGACTGTGTCTTTAGACCTCTTTTCTTCATTATCTATACTCATTCCTTTGGTGATCTCATGCAGTCCTGTGGCTTTAAATAACATTCATATACTGACAACTTCTCAATTGTA